TGTGTGTGTGTGTGTGTGTGTGTGTCTCAGTTTGTATTTGTCTCACCTGCGACACGAGCAGCTGGCACGTGCTCAGCTCCTTCTCATTCGCCTTCATCTTGCAGGTGTTTTCTGTCAGGTTGACCTCCAACTGTTTGCTGCGGTTCACCAGAGATTTGACTTCAGACTTCATCTTACTGATGTAGAGTCGGGCAGAGGTGAACTCTTCCTCCATCACTCCACTCACTTCAGTCATCTGAAGAGACAGAATCAGAGTTTGTTTTCAGACACATGAAAAGTAGAAGTAGATGAGAAGAAGAACTAGTTTGAGGCTCACAGCTTTGAGCTCGGTGGTTCCGAGAACACTGCCGATCTCACTGAGGTCTCTGAGCAGCAAAGTGACGATCTCCGCTGACCTCCTCTTATGATGAGAGCTGAGCTCCTGCAGGGAGGACAGCTCCCTCTGAACAGCCTCCAGACTGACCTGGAAACACAGCAGGTTCATTACACATCCATCCATCAATCCAATCCAAACATCAATCCATCCATCCATCCTTCCAAAAATCCATCCATGCATCCTTCCAAAAATCCATCCATGCATCCAAAAATCCATCCATCCAAAAATCCATCCATGCATCCTTCCAAAAATCCATCCATGCATCCAAACATCCATCCACCCCCATCCATCCAAACATCCATCCATCCAAAAATCCATCCATCCATCCAAACATTCAAAAATCCATCCATCCAAACATCAATTCATCCATCCATCCAAAAATCCATCCATCCATCCAAACATCCAAAAATCCATCCATTCAAACATCCAAAAATCCATCCATCCATCCAAACATCAATTCATCCATCCATCCAAAAATCCATCCATCCATTCAAACATCCATCCATCCCTCTGACTGTGGACTCACAGTTTTGTGAGCAAGCTCGTCGTTCAGCTGTTCATTGCAGCGGTTCTTATTCTCCACCTCCTGACTCTTGTGGTCATAGTTGACAGCCAGCTCCTCCAGCGCCTGCAACACCTCTTTCACCTCCTCTTTAGCTGAATCGCTTTCCCTCTGCAGGCGGGACAGCTCCTCCTGCAGCCGCTCATAGTCCTGGCGGATAGATGCCAGCAGCTGGTGGAGAGCTATTGATTAACCTGTGATCCATCGATCAGTGGATAGTATGGAATGTAACACTCAGGTGAGACTCACCTCATCCTGGTCGATCAGCTGCTGTTTGAGTTTCTCAGACATCTGACTCTGCTGGTTGATCTCATCATCCTAAACATCAATCAGACAGAGTTTAATGATTTAAACATGTCTTCCAGCTAGTTACCACAGCAGGTGTTAAGAAGACTGACTGTACAAAACCAGACAAGATCTGGCCCATTCATGCAACTTGTGACAACAGATAATTTCACACACTATCCAGAAGACACTGCGTGCTTTCCGGGGTTACTGCACATGCTGGAATTTTGGCGTGGACTGTCCATTGATCCCTTGGCATTTTACTGTTACCTTGTTAAAATAAAACCCTATCATCTCATATTTCCCGATTTTTCTAAAATGGGCTTACTCATCAAATACTGAATTTTGGGTGTGTGGGATCCAAAGACAAATAATTATGACCACTATAACCTAGAAGTGGATAGGATGTTTTGACCCGGCATAAATTATCCACTACAGAGGGACTCCGGGTTGCCTAGCAACACAATTATTGACATACATTTTGATGTAAAAGCTGCTTTAACATGACTAAGAGCTAGCTATTTGTGACTGATCAATAAATATGTAGGTGATGGTGACAGGGTGGGTCAGAGCGGGAGTCTATGACCGAAGCGGTGCAGAGCAGCAGAGGAATGGCAGCTGAACTAATCAGAGAATCCAGAGTGTTTAGAACTACCTGGAGAAAATAATGAATGAAATCCAGGTTAGAAAGGCAGAATCAGACTGACTGTTCTACTTTTACAGTAATTATTTATTGTTACTAAGTGTTTCTTACTTTTTTGTAGCAGCGGTGAAGCCAATTTTAAAATGCAGATGCTCATTGCCTAAGGGAAGCATGTATAATGTAAACAGAACTGGTCCTAGCACTGAACCCTGTGGAACTCCATAATTAACCTCAGTGTGTGAAGAGGACTCTCCATTTACATCAACTAACTGGAGTCTATTAGATAGATATGATACAAACCACTGCAGTGCAGTACCTGTAATACCTACAGCATGTTCTAATCGCTCTAATAGGATATTATGGTCGACAGTATCGAACGCTGCACTGAGGTCTAGCAGGACAAGCACAGAGATGAGTCCACTGTCAGAGGCCACAAGAAGATCATTTGTAACCTTCACTAAAGATCCCAAAGGTTGATTGTGCTCATCCGGATGTTCTCAGTGGGAGAAACGTTGCATCATCACCCAGGTGGGCCTCTTCAGTCTCAGCTGACTGCAGGTTTCCAACCTTATAAACAGGACATTAGCACAATGACTGAAACTAGCACCACTGACTAACACTGGGTTGTGAGGTCAGTTTCTTTGATATGATGTTCATTACATCAAGAAGGCCCTGAGCAAATGTGGTTATCACAGCTGGACATTTGTCAAAGCTGGGAAGGCGCCTAAAGAAAGCTCCAGCTGATCCAGGAGAGGGACAACTGCTGACTAAGGGAAAACCTGTAGTGATCCCTTTTAAAAATCTTTTGTTCCGCAGTCAAAGCTGCCGTCATGAGACCTCCACAATCCTTTAAAACAGGGGTCCCCAATCCCAGTCCACGAGGGCCGGTGTCCCTGCAGGTTTTAGATGTGTCCTTGATCCATCACAGCTGATTTAAATGGATAAATTACCTTCTCAACATGTCTTAAACTTCTCCAGAGGCCTGGTAATGATCATGTGATTCAGGTGTGTTGACCCAGGGTGAGATCTAAAACCTGTAGGGACACCGGCCCTCGTGGACTGGGATTGGGGACCCCTGCTTTAAAAGAAAAGCACTGCTGTCTTTGAGCTTTTAAATAGTTTGGCCTCACACAGGGTACAGGTGCGACTCACTTTGTCGTCCAGCTGCTGGTACAGGTCAGTGATGAGAGTCTCGTACTGCGACTTCTCCTCCACAGACAAGGCGACAGGGGGCGGAGCCAAGCTGTCAATCGCTGCTGCTGTCTCGCTGCTGCACTTCTTGTTTCTGTTGCCCAGTTGTTCCTCCACAGGTACAGACTCACCTGGAGGAGTCAAAATTACTGATAATAGAATCAAATCAGGATCCATGAATAAAACATTGGCCACATGCTCACATCACAAGAGACAGAGCTGCAGCTGAGAGTCTTATCAGTGAGCTGCCAACAGAAACTAAACAGGAATTCAATCAGACGCAAAACGAAGGCTCAGACACAAACAGCTCCACTCTGACAAAATATTAAGAGACTCTCCATCATAAACGGTTCACAGTGACAGCTTTCCTAAACAAACTACTACCACGTGTACAGTATAGCAGCCTCTAGTGGACAGGTGAATAGCTGCATGTAAAACGCTCCCTGGTACCGTCACTGCCTTCTGTAAAACGAGTTTAAAGAGAACTGATCAAAGCGTGACACGGAAACCTTCAAATGGAAACCTTCAAAATAGGGCTGGGCCATATCATGCCGTTCATGGTAATACCGGTATAATGTTAGGCAATGATAAGAAAATGAAATATCGCAATAGAATATGGTGATACATGCATGCGCAGTGCCTTTGTTTTCATGAGCACATGGCAGAAAAAGCATGGCAGAGAATGAGAAGGGCGAAAGCGGATCGTTGATCAGATGAACCAGAACTGGTTTGTAAAAATGCTGCAACTTCAGTGGTGTGGAACTGGTTTAGCTTTTGTCCGTCAGACACACAACAAAGCACAGTTTTTGTTAGAGCATGCTAGCGGGCCGTCGTTATTACCGTGTTTTTCGGAAAATAAGTCACACTTAAAATCCTTTAATTTTCTCAAAAAATCTACAGTGCGCCTTATGTATGAATTCTGGTTGTGCTTACTGACCTCGAACCGATTTTATGTGCACGGCGCTCAGAAATCTGTCAAAAATGTTTTAATATGACTTTGCTAAGCTACAAAGCCGCACCGCTTGATGGATTGTCGGAGCATTATGGCATCGTAGTCAGGAGCCACGGGTGTAATACGTACTGTGCTTCAACATAATGTTACCGTATTGTGTGTGTATAACCTCTTTTTAAGTTTTGTGGATATTATACATGGTTATGCTGAGGATATGTCGGCCAGTTTCCACTGGAAATGCCTTTTGGTTAGACTGTCAGTGAGGAATTTGCATAATTGTTTGCACTAATAAAGTTGTGGAGTTGTAAAGTATTTTTTCTCGCGTCAGTTATATCGTTATCACAAATTTTCAAATGTATATCATGATAAATATTTTTGGCCACATTGCTCTGTCCTACTTCAGAGTCCTGAAGTGAAACCTTTACAGACTAAAGTAACACAAAGATGGAGGCAGACGTTTACCTTCCAGGAGGAAGAAAAAGCTTTTAAACTTTCTATTGGAACAAAGCTGGTAAATGTTAAAGGATGAGTGTTTTTTTATCATTAAAGCTCATTTAGGAAAAGCTGCCAGAATATATGACCAGAGGCTGTCACGTGGGGAGACTTGCTGATAGGAGTAGTTTGATGTCAGAGGGTTGAGTCCAGCAAAAATCATGATCTTTCTCTAACCGAACTCTTTTGGTACCAGAACCAAATGTGAAAAAAATTAAAGTGCAGAATGCGTTCGTGCCACCACCAAATGACCTGCCTTCCAAAACACGTGACAGATTTAAGATGACGTAGCAGCAAGATGCAGCCTCACTCCACCTTTGTGGAAACTGTGGACTTTAAAGCACATACATCTTTTAGAGCTGTTTCCTGGATAGTCACATTTAGTGCAGGAAGAAAACTGAAAAACAAACAAACATGATGCCCCCTTTGCTGTTGGTGAAAAATGCACCACATCAACCAATCAGATTATTTGACAACATAGGTATTCGGTAGCTCTGAGTAAAAAGTTGTGGGAGTGCCAGCGGTGAGAGAGAGCAATATCAATCGTGGGTTTTGAGCTGTCTGGAGTGTGCAGGCAGATTGAAGTATAAATGCTGTCTCCAGGTGGAAACCTGAAGTAACATCTTTTTTCACCTTTCCTCCAGCGTTTCAGCTCATTCTCCAGTTTCTGGATCATGATGTTCAGACTCCTGTTCTTCTCTTTCTCCTTCTCATACTTCTTCTTCCACTCCTCGGCGGTCAGCTCCAGGTTCACAGACACTGTGTTCTTTATGGTTTTAGCTCTGAAACAACAGGACGCAGAATGAAGAAACACTCAGATCTGTGGAGGACGTACTTCAACCACAGTACTCTGCTTTTTCCTCTGATCAGGTGACTTGCCGTACCTCTGTCCAAACATGAGCGTGGACTTTGTTTCAGCCTCGTTGTAAACAGACGGCGAGCAGCAGATGATGATGGTAGTTCGACAGTTTCCACCCAGAGAGTCCTGAAGGATCCGGGTCATCTTACTGTCTCTGTATGGAACGTGGGTTTTCTAGAGACACACGAGACACGTGACAATCACTTCACCTGAAAATCAGGTGAGCTGTGACGTTTCTGTCAAACAAATCAAATTAAATCCAGAATATTTCAGGCATACATGTCAGAGACCTGAAGATCGGAGACATGAAGACTCACCGTTCCTTCACTCAGGGCAGCGATGACGTTCCCCAGAGCAGACAGAGACTTGTTGATGTTTTTAGCCTCATCCAAAACAGCACCCTCTGCTCCTGTTTTACTCACCTGGATGGCAGAAAGCACAATCCAGGTGTCAGCAAGCAGAAATTTACAGAGAACAGGTGCTCACTGAGTGTGATGGAGTAGTGTGACCTTCTCGCTGCCTGCCAGGTCCACCAGGTAAAGTTTCCCTGATAGCTTCATCTCCGTCTCCACGTTCTCTTGTTTGATGTTGATCAGAAAAATGCTGTGACTGCGAGAGCTGTGCTCGTTCATGTCTGCATGAAGAAGAAACCCCATTCAGTAAACTGATCCGAGAACAAACACACGATGGTCGGGGCGGAAGTATCACACGTACAGGTGAAGACTTACTGGTCACAGCGACGTGTCTGTTTGCTTTTCCTTCATCGATAACGTCCATCACCTCCTCGGGACTGGAAACAAAGCGCTCCGTGCAGCCCTGACAATGAAACACACATCAGTAGAGTATCAGCAGCAGGACGCTGCAGACATGCGGTAAATATGGCTGTTTGGAGGCGGCGTGCACCCACAGCACACCTGTGAGACTCAGCAGACAAACAAAATTCTCCATAAACTGAACGAATATAATATATCAATTTAATATTAAAGCTTACTGTTCCACAGCTCCATAAAGGAGACGTGGAAACTTGAATGAATGTGATCGGTTGTGTTGCGTTTCCAGCGGTGACTCATCAGCAGATCAGAATCAAGCATAATGACAATTAAACATTTTCAAAATCACCAGAATAAAACAGAGTTTTCTGTGACAACCAGATCCAGAAAACATGACCTGCTCCTCACAAAGGTTGTACCTCCCCTTTTTGTGAGTGTGGACGCTTCCTCTCTTTGCTCTTTAAATGCTTTGCTTCTTTTATTGATTTTTATGCTGTTTTTTTTCCCCTTTTTTTCCCGCATGAGCTTACCTGCAATAGCTTTTGGTCATTTATAGATCATTAGGACTAAAGTGTTCTTAACAGAAACAGCAAAATTTTTATAGTTACCTTATCTTCAGCGCTCTGTATGTTTGTGGCCTACACACAGCTGAAGCCTGATTACAGCGTCTGGGCACCGAACAGCCTCAATAGCCTGAAAAGGTGCTAACCGCTAGGCTAACTAGCAACAAATGCCTCCCCTCTCCACAGATGACTACCACAGCCTCCTGCAGAAGATTGCAGTACTGGAGACAAAAATTCATCGCTTAGAAGTAAACATGGAGGTAAATGGACTGTGTGGAAATGAAACAACCTTGCCTTTGATTCAAAACAATGGCGATGAGCAAGCTAGTACACAGCTAAGGAACACAGATAACATGACCAAGAAAGTAGACTCTGTGCATTATTATAAATCCTCAAGCAATAATCCCCCCTTGAACTGTCTTGGTGCAAAACCAAGACATAAATCACGTCTACTGGAAGGGGGAGGACCAAGGGCGTAGATTTGGTTTTGGAATTGGTGGGGACGGATGATTCAACCACCGAACCCTGTTTCTTATTTTTTTCCTTTTTGTCTTTGCTTTGATTAAAAGAAAGGAGAAATATACTTGCCTACATATGCTATTCTACATGCTTTTTAAAAATTACAATTCATAGTTTTATATGTGAATTATATAATGTTAAATTACTATTAAACAAATGACTGACTAAGTATTTTAGACTTTAGTTTACTTCAGCCATATTCCATATAAAAAGTGAGACATATCAATTCAGATTCTTTGTCAAATATACACTAATGAATCAATTTACATCAGCAGCCTAACAATTGTCATGATAATAAATACTAGTTAATCTATAGCAGAAAATCATCAGTCGGTCACCAGTGACCTCGCCTCTTCACCTCTGTCCAAGCTACAACATGGCAGAGCTGCCTCTGTCACCTGATAAATAACAGTGAGACACTCCACATACATGCAGTCACACATGTGCTTCAAATACAGTCATGAACCA